CACAGAATGGACTTCCCATGTGTAAAGATTTGAAGCCAAGAAAATAGATGAAGTTCAGGACCATCTCACCAGAGTGTATTGGGGACCCAATCTAGTGTATTGGGTTAAATATGAATTCAAATCAATACAGTATCATAGCGAACAGCTGATTGATTTATTACTTAGCACAGAATATTGTCATTAGTTTCAAGAGTTGTATATTTACTAAGATCTTTAGATAAAAATGTCCCCAAGTCATATCTCAAGCTTGCTTACACTAGTTTCTTTCAAAATAGTTTACTGTATAATGTTTATGGAGAAATTCAGCTGGAGTAGAAGATGTCTTATTGGCCCAGAAAAAATCCGTCAGAATACTAGCTGACTACTCAGAGCACTGTAGGCCTATTGGTATCCATGGAAACTGTTAACTGTCCTTAGTTTATATGTTTTGTATGTTCTACTAGAAGTAAAAAAAACAATCTGTAATCTTGTTGAAACTGTTAAGACCCGATCAAAACCCGATATACCCGGTATTATATATGTGATAATGCCGCCTGAAGAAATTTGTAAAACAGTTTATACAGAACTATAACGCCCGGGACAGAACTAGCGTCCTAGGATGTTGAGTAAGTTGAGACATTAAAAAGGTACACATATCCCGTCTTCATATCCAGAACTTTAGGATTAAGGGCTGAAACATATGTAAACCAAACAATTCTTTATCTACGAAAAAATCATAACAAATAAATTATACTGAATATTATTATTATTTATTACAATTGCGCCCATAACTATCTGTTTGTAGACTACTGTACTGCCTGTTATAATCAAAAATAAAAGTATACACTGTATAAATTTCCCTACACCAAGAGAGTAAAATGTAGTCGAAATCAGCAGAATGAGCGTACAAACATCAAACACACACTAAACAAGATTTACATGTGATTGTAGAATTAGAAGACAACTTCAATCTTGAACTACTGACAATCATCTAGTTCAATGTAGATTCAACCTTTTCATTTCTATTTACAAAATGCAATTAAAGCTAATTTAATTTATTTCGCAAGGATTGGGGTTTTCCACATTTCGACCAAAAAAAAATCAAATTTGCAGTTTCTACCAAACAATTTTGTAGAGTTAAAAAACAAATAATTGAGTATACTGAAGCGTTTTTTTTATTTCTAATGGTTACGAATTACGAATATATAAATGGGGGAAAATCCAAATGTTTAAAGGAATATTTGAGTGGAAATACCACAAGGCACACGGAAATTCAGTCAGCAGGTTTGCCGTGGCGGGGAATTTTATATATTTTACATTTACCCAGCGCTTAACATTTAAGTAAAAATTCCAGAGGATGGGCAATAGTTTATTAGTTTATAAAGTGGTATTAGATTAAAATAGTTTTTAATTGGTTAAAAAAACTAATCCAAACAAAACCCTTAATACATAAACAGTTTGGAAACATTTCTGACATTCAGTTGAGTCATAAGAATGATAAATACAGTATATAAAAGACAAGTTTGAAACAATATTTACGTTTTGACTTCCAAGTACTAAGCATATACAGCTGCTATTGAAATTTTCAGTGGCTGGAAAGTAACTTACGCCCCCCTTAAACCCCCCCTTAACTTTTCAACCAATTGAGATATTTGAAATTTGTTTGCGGCAACCTTCTTAGATATGAGGGGCTACAATAATTATGGTCAATTTTGAAAATTTTCCCCTTAGGGGTAGTGGGGGTAGGGGGTAGCTCAAAATGTTCAAGGGACAAGTATAGTAGAGCTTGGTATCATTTTAAAGGTCCTGACGAAACATACAAATTGACATAAAGAAAACAAATAATGGCCCACTAATAACAAAATGGCGCCTTAAAACGTTTCAAATCCAAATAACCATGAGGGTGGCAAAAAAATAACTTGCTCCCCCTTTAACTTTTTAACTATTTGAGATATTTGAATTCGGTTTACAGCAACTTGTTTGGATATGAATGGGTACAATAATTATGGTCGGTTTTGAAAATTTCGCCCTTAGGGGTCTAGCGGGTAGCTCAAAATTATCAAATAGCAAGTATAGTCGAGTTTGGTATAATTTTGCAGGTCTTGACGAAACATAACAATTAACATAAAGAAAATAGAAATCGGACCATTAATAACAAAATGGCAGCTGAAATTGATTAAGACAATGGTTATTAAAAGTAATTTTGAACTGCCATTTTGTTATTGATGGTCCGATTTCTATTTTGTTTATGTTAATTAATTGTTATGTTTCGTCAAGACCTGCAAAACCATGCCAAACTCGACTATACTTGCTTTTGAAAATATTTAGCTACCCCTTACCCCCTAAATAAATACATAAATAAGGGCAAAATTTTCAAAACTGACCATAATTATTGTAGCCCTTCATATACAAACAAGTTGCCGCAAACCGAATTCAAATATCTCAAATAGTTAAAAAGTTAAAGGGGGTGCAAGTTAATTTTCAGCCACCCTCATGGTTATTTTTATTTGAAACGTTTTAGGGTGCCATTTTGTTATTATTGGGCCGATTTTGATTACCTTTATGTAAATTTTTATTTTTCGTCAAGACCTGTAAAATGATACCAAACTTGACTATACTTACTATTTGAAAATTTTGAGCTACCTCTTACCCCCACTACCCCTAAGGGCAAAAATTTCAAAATTGACCATAATTATTGTAGCCCCTCATACCTAAGAAGGTTGCCACGAACAGATTTCAAATTTCTCAAATGGTTGAAAAATTAAGGGGGGGGGTGTAAGTTACTTTTTAGCCACCCTGTATACAAACCAATTACAGTACTTTCCAGTGTGCAAAATTCACTAGATTTATCGTGTTCTAAATTCTATCCGAATCTGGAGCTGTTCTACCTAAACATCCATAGTTTTTATGGATTTTGGTTTTAAATCAATTCTGGACAACATTCGAAGGATAACAGTTTTGGAGTACTGTAGTCAAATTTAGCTAAAATTTGTATTAAGGAGCTTACAAATAACTAAATATATTTTAGAAATATTTTATCTCATGTACATGATTTGTTTGAAATTTTAATAGTTTATTTTGCAAGAAACTCGTTAAAAACATAGTTAACGTAAAATGTAATATATGCATCTGTTTAAAATATAAATCTGTATTTACAATTCAATCAGGTGGAAAATAATATTCTACAATGAAAACGTCAACACAGACGTGAATTTTAATTAGTGAAAAATTAAAAAAATAATAGGGCACATATTTATATTTACTTACATGTAGTTATGTAAAAATTAATTAATTATTAATATTAAGCAGCCTTCAGATGTATTGTTCATTGTAAATAAAACTGGTAAAAATGTATAACACTGATTACAACTGTAGACTGGACAGCACTGTCTTATCAATTTGTATTCCATTTTAATTATTTTATTTAAAATTATTGTGATTGTGACAGACTTATAAAGAAACTATTGGCATACCACAATGACAATGTATAACATTGATGATGTGGTTGCATACAAAATGACCTGACAAAGTTCTAAGGGACGAAACTAGTCATACCATCAACTGTGGTTGGATAAGGTAATAATTTTATTTCATCAATAACCTTCTGAATTGAACCAATTCACAAGGCAAATAATTAAAATTATAAAAATAATCAACGGCTTTCAAAATACCTAGGGTAAGATTTAGTCAAATTATTTTAATATACAAAAACCATCAATAATTATGTAAGAAGGATACAAAGTACTATACTTCTACAATACATATTCAACGATTGGTAATACACGCCCAATATTGTCTTAAAATAATTTTAATTCATTCAAAATAATAAACACCAGATGATTTCATAATAACCATCAAAACAGTTAAAAAGGTCACGGACAGAGCAACTCCAATAACACAACCGTTAGCTAATAACAGCTGTTAATTTCAAGGTTAGATCAGCTGTTTACAGTTTACGTTCACAATGCGTTATAGTAAGGTACTACGGTACTGTTCAGGTCTAACAACCGCGTCTTGTAAATAAAGGCAAAGAGCAAATTGGACCAAGCAGGCGAGAGGTTAATTCACTTAACCTTTAGGTTGGTAAAACTGATTCGTCTGGCAGTGGTCTAACGGTAACGGATAGCTGAGTGTTACGGTGGCTGTGGATCCATTGTTGCCGGGGACACGGTAATTATGGTACCGTACGATAATTCTGTGTCTACTGCATACTTTGGTACCATAATTTAGCTGACCTTTAATTGTACACTTGTGTACCAACTTAAACCAACGATTTATTTAGATTAAATTAAAACTGTATAAACAAATTACTGTAGAATCTATAACAAATTAATATGTTATTTTAAACGGATTATTTAATGTCTCCCTTATTTTAAAAATTTAATAATTCAACACGGGAGATGAATCAATTGTTAGTTTTGAAAAGTTACTCAGAGCATAGTATTAAAATTGATAAATACATAGTTTAGGAAAATACGACGATTAGAGTTTTATTTTTTTTTATGAATAGCCTAATTAGTTAGTTAGAATAGTTCTATACTACTACATGCTACTTACATAAATTGCTATTTAATTAAATACATACTATACATGCTATACACGCTATACATGCTATTTAATTAAATTGTCTCAAATATAACTACTACAACTGAATTAAGTCTAACACATATTTAAACAACAAACTGTTGATTTAAAAACATATAGGAATTTTTTTTATTAAAGTGTACTGTAATTAAAATTACAATATTCTATGAAAGTAATTTCTGTACAGTGTTGAAATTATTAGTAATACATTTGTTCAAGTATATTTTGAATGTAACAAAATATACTTGAACAAGGAATTCATTTGAATGCCTTCTCCCTAGGAATAGAAAGTGTTTGGTTTAGTGACCTATACCATGTTTCAGACGGTACGATATTTCCTGGTAACGTACGACTATTTAGTGTTCACCGTTGGCATCACTGCGGCAGGAATCAGCTGGGAGCCTGTTGCAGACTGCCGCCAAGTCACAGTTGGTCGCGTCACTTTGTCCGGTTCACTTCTTCTGACGTCGCGCTGTACAGACAAAGTTACCCGTGCGTGTGTGTCTATCAGAAGCTAACTTACTATGTGTTTTGTGCCGTTAGGAAGTGAAAGTGTGAGTGTTCGCTTTTCGACCCGTTAACTTCCAAGATGGGATTTTCCCCCAATCTCCAGAGCCGAGCAGGCCATGAAGCCCTTCTGTGCAGACAGGATGCGGAGCTTCGACTCTTGGAGACTATGAGGAGATGCCTCTCCAGCAAGGTAAAGTGCGACAGAGATTACTGCACAGCCCTCTCCGCGATCACGACCCAGGGGCAGAAGGTGGAGAGAGGAGATGAAGGGTACCTGACGGGAAGTCTTGTAGCTCAAGCCTGGAAAGGAATTCTCGAGGAGGTGGAAAACGCTGCCAAACTGGTCAAGACCAACGCCGATGTCGTCGAGAAGGAGACGCTGGAGAAGCTGAACACCCTGTACATCGAGAAACGCAAGGCGAGGAAGAGCTATCAGGATGATCACATCAGGATCTCACTACAGATGTCCAATGTAAGTTGTGAGTTGTGAGGCTTTTGTTTGTTTTTGTTTTGAGTTCGGCCTGTAAACATGTCTTTGCACAGGCACGATTGTTTGTACTCTTGTCTTTAGATCTTAGTAGCCATAGAGATAGTAATAACTAATAGGACTCAAACTGAATTATTTGTTAGAAGTCTAGAGTAAGGTGAAACCGTAGACTTCTCTTTCTATTATTTTCAGATCGTCTACAGAAGAACCTTCTACACCTGGATCAGCTAAGATGAGTTGTAATTTGTAAATTGAAAAACTTCCAAAACATTATGGAAATTCAAAGATTTGAGATAAGTTACTCAGATTGCTTTATGAGTTTTTGAGACGCCTGAATGTATAACACCCCATGGATGATTGGATTGGACATTCTTTAATTTGTGTTTATAACTTAGTTTACAGAGAAAACCATTGTTATTTTTGAGGTTGGGAGGGGTGGGGGGTCAAAGAAATACTCCTTTTTCATTCACTTTATTGTTGTTGCTCACGATGATTTTAACAACCTTTCGTCTATGAATCTTACTATGGATAGGTATTATTATCTGGATTATGTAGGTATTTAATTTGATAACTGTTTGGGATTGAATCAACATAAAATCGTCTTTAGTTCAAAATAGTTTCATTGATTACATTATCTTTCAATCAACGGCGATATCTGCATTCCAGTTTCTCAAATCAACCCTTGCACTTATCTTATCGTTGATGAATCACCTATCAACGGTAAGCTGAATCCGCCTTTGGCTGCGATAATAGAAGAGATAAGCTCGTTGATTACTGTTGCAATATTATTTATAATCAACGCTGAATAGAGATTTCGCATTTCTCATTCCTAGAAACACCCACAGTTTGTCATACTTTTTGTGAATTGGAGAGAAAAATAAGTTGCCACTTCCACAATCGTGCTCATCTTTCATTACAGACAAGAGGAATTAAGGGTTTCGTTCATAACAATTAGAATTTATGTTTATAATTAATGCTGATCATTATTTCGCATAGGCCTATCCACTGGTAGAAAATGCCACAAGTTCGTCATATCGTTTACGAATTGGGTTCCGGGTAACTGCAAACTTACTGACAGAAAGTTTGTTTATGTTTGTTTTTAAGTTGCATCTTACAAAAAGTATTTTATGATGCTCAATACAATATATCACTTATTCTTGACACAATTTTGATGTCATTTTCAAAATTTTTACTGTTGTTGCCATAGTAACAGCAAAGACTGCATACAAATGCAAACACTACTGAACATCGCCCACGCATTAAGCGAATCGTGGCTGAAAGACAAGAATGCGAAATGGTTTATAAATTCTTTAGAACGTTGTTTATAAACAAGCAAAGCAGATTTTACATTGGCTATTGTAGCGAAAACATACAGCAAATCTTGGAATAGAACTGGTTCTGGATAAAAATAGCAAGAAACTGTTTTCGACACGGTTTCCAAAAAACCGATTTTCAAACTGATTTGAAAATAATATTTAGTTTGCCATTAGTAAGTTTTGGAAAGAGAAGAGAGAATTGCATTTTCATTAAGTTGCCAAAGATAATTCGCAAGTTAATAAATTCTTTAAATACGGTTAATATACTGCTTGTATTGTCTTAAAATAGTGAAACAAAACAAATACCCCCGTCGCAGCTTGAGAAATTTATACAGTCGGCCTTTGTGGCTTTTTTTATTTTTTATTCAAATCGGTAATATATATATATATAATATATATAATATAATTATATATATAATATATATAATATAAGGACATTCACCCTTGGACCCAAGCCTAATATCAATAACATTAGCTTTAAAAGTTCTATCGTTTGCTGCTACGAAAACTAACGAAATACCTTTGTTTTGAACTTGTTAAATTAGTTTTGAACGTGCGATCATTGAATCAGATTTACTTTTAAACGAAATCTGCAGCAACTTGTTTTTTCTTGTATGCTTACAATGAGAGACAAAGCAGTACTGAGCTTAGCACTTTAAAACCCTATCGGTGAACAATAGTAATAAATTAAAGAAAATGCTGATCTTTTTTAATCTTGTGGATCAAAACCTCATCTAAACTCATCTATGGTCTGATCGGACTGGTTTGCGAAGCAAATATTCTCCAGTACATTTTCATTTCTGTAGGGTAACTCACAAAAGAAAAGAGACCTTCTCCGCTCTCTTATGAAGAAGAGAGGTCAGAGTATAACGGCTGCACTTTACTTTAGGTCCTACACTCATTCGAATGAAAATATCGATTATTCGATTGTTTCATTCAATATATCGTTTGGTTAGTTAGGTTAGGTTAACCTTGCCTAACTAACCAAATGATATATCGAATGAAACAATCGATTAATCGATATATCGATCGATATTTTCATTCGAATGAGTGTAGGACCTAAAGTAAAGTGCAGCCAGTATAACCGTCAGGTAAAGCCATCAGATTGCAATCATTGACTGTGTGCTTCATTGTCTGGCACTCCAAATCTCAGATACATGACGTGTCTACTGTCGTTCCCCATTTCCAATAGTTGCATCTACCTTTTTCAGTCCAAAACTGATTAAGCAGCTTCCACGATGACACCTACTGCCGAAAACAGGTGTGGTATCAGGAAGCAGTTTTGACCCTGAAAATACTCCTAAGAGGAATACCAATCACCTTGAAAAGAAAATTTAGTTTCCTTAAGTCGGGAGGACGATTTCAATTGTGGTTTTCGGGACCTCTGACTGACGATTTTTCAAGAAAGGGTGGAGAAATGGACGAATGGGTCAAAAGAACAGATCGTATCTGTTTATACTCTTTTAATACTGTAGTACAATAGTTATTTACTTTTTAGGCGGAGTTGGGATCAGGCTTTTTGTTAACTCGATTGTCCTATTATTTAACCACAGAAAAAACCGCGACAAATAAATAACTCTATTTGCTGTCTAAATACACCAATGTTGTATAGTGCATTAAAACCCAGTGGGTCATCCGAAAAGCGTTATTGTTTCAAAGAATCTTACGATAACTTTTCGTGATTTTTGTATTCGTTGGTATAACCTAGCCATGATTTGCTCAATCTACGACAATGTTTGAAGGAATATGATTTTTTTTTTAATTATGGCCACTTAATTTTTGTTTGAAACTAAAGAATAGCCAGAATAATATCATGATATTTGGGTGACACTAACTCTTGTATTTTGCTCTATCATGATATTTGGGTTATACTACCTACTGTATTTTGCTCTATCGTGATATTTGGGTTACACTACCTACTGTATTTTGCTATATCGTGATATTTGGGTTACACTATCTACTGTATTTTGCTATATCATGATATTTGGGTTACACTACCTACTGTATTTTGCTATTTCGTGATATTTGGGCTACAATACCTCTATTACTCTATCGTGATATTTGGGTTACACTACATACTGCATTTAGCTATATCATATGATATTTGGGTTACAATACCTCTGTATTTTGCTCTATCATGATATTTGGGTTACACTACCTACTGTATTTTGCTATTTCGTGATATTTGGGCTACAATACCTCTATTACTCTATCATGATATTTGGGTTATACTACCTACTGTATTTTGCTATGTCGTGATATTTCGTTTACACTACCTCTCTTTTTGCTACGTGATATTTGGGTTGTCTTGTGCTTCGCTCCATCGTGCTATTTGGGTTAGACTACCTCTCGTCTTCTGCTCTTCCTGTATGACTCATCACATAAAGACGCCGATGAGAAGGTGGGGGAGAGAGAGAGGCGTAGGAGAGCATCAAAGCCGACGTCTGTGTTAAAATACCTGAAATGTTTTTGTTCAAAACATCGGCTGTACAAGATGACCCCTGAACCTTTTTGATTAAGACCTCTTCAATAAGAAATCACATCTCTAATTGTGTTGAAGTTGGTGTCTCCTATACTAACAAAGATTTTTTCATATAACCCTCTATGGATTATATTGCTTCATAATATATTGCTAGTTTGTCAATAATTACGATTATACATTCTTCATCAGTTATATCCTGTTTGCAAAACAATTTCTTTCTTGTTTTTACCCTATAGACAACATATAGATTTATTTCTGGTGGTTTACTTGATCTTGATTTGATTTGAGTGTGTTAGCTGTTATTGATTCTATAGCTATAAAAATGTAAGTTGTAGAAAGAGAAACGGTTTCCTAAGATGGTACTGTAGTTAAAAATGCTCGACAGTATTTCTTTAAATAATAGTTCATAACTCAGTAATTTCCTATTCGATTGTGACAAACATGTTTATATGTTCGTTTTGTAACTCTAGATTATATTATGACGCAAATATCCCATATGGATATAAGCTACACATAGCCTAGAAGAGAAAACAACAAAGTTAAAAGCTACTCTAGAAACTCTCAAAAATTGCTTATAGAAACGAATCATTCAACTTAAATCCTCCTTAATTGATAATTTATAAGAAATAATAATAAAAAATAATAATACAGTTCGCTGAAAGGATCTTTCTCTTAATCAGCTGATCAGTATTTTATAAATTACGTATTTAATAATTTAACTAAGGGGAATGTATATACAATAATGAGCACGCTTTTGAATGTTAATTTGCTTGTTTACAAATCAGCTAGGTTAGGTTTAATTGAATAAATACTTGTCAAAAATGTAGTGAATAGATAAAAAAAATATATTAATAATTTTCGACGGTCTAGTTTTTTTACGGAGTAGGCCTATGTAGTGTAAATTACCATCTTGTTTTTTCACCGACGGACATAAAACAAACAAACAAACACTGATATTTATGCATTCGAACTATTTCGCGAAACAGCATGATCGGACTTTGAGAACGGGGGTTTTAGGGTAAAAATTGGGTTTACCCTAAAACATCAAATTTTCAATTTCTTACTAACCCATTTTGTAGAGCTTAATAAACAAATCATTTTGTTTATTGAACCGATGTACGCTTAATAGATTAAGGGGAATATTAAAAAAAAAATCAATTTAAAATTCCTATGTTCTTATGGATAAA